AGCAACACAATTCAAAAGCATCAATTCTTCAGTGGTCAGCCTTCTTTATGGTCCAACTCTCACTTCCATACATTGCTGCTGGAAAAACCATAGCTTTGACTATGTGGACCTTTGTTGGCAAGGTGATGTCTCTGCTTTTTAAGATGCTGTCTAGGTTTGTCATCGCTTTCCTCCCAAGAAGCAGGCGTCTTTTAATTTCGTGGCTGCTGTCACCATCTGCAGTGATCATGGAGCCCAAGAATGTAAAGGTTGTCACTGCCTCCATCTCTTTCCCTTCGGTTTGCCAGGAGGTGATGGGTCTGGTGGCCGTGATCTTTTTTTGAAGTTGAGCTTCAGACCATTTTCTGCGCTCTCCTCTTTCACCCTCATTAAGAGGTTCTTTAATTCCTCTTCACTTTTTGCCATCAGAGTGGTATCATCTGCATATCTGAGGTTGTTGATATTTCTTCCGGTAATCTTAATTCTGGCTTGTAATTCAGCCAGTCCTTTCCCATAATGTATTCTGCATATATAAGTTAAATAAGCAGGGAGACAATATACAGACTTGCCGTACTCCTTTCCCAATTTTGAACCAATCAGTTATTCCATATCCAGTTCTAAATGTTGCTTCTTGTCCCACATATAAATTTCTCAGGAGGTAGATAAGGTGGTCAGGCACTCCCCTTTCTTTAAGAACTTGCCATAGTTTGCTGTCGTCCACACAGTCAAAGGTTTTTGCGTAGTCAATGTAGCAGAAGTAGATGTTTTTCTGGAACTCTCCGGCTTTCTTCATAATCCAGCGCTAGTTAGCAATTTGGTCTTGAGTTCCTCTGCCCCTTCAGAATCCAGCTTGTACTTCTGGGAGTTCTCGGTCCACATAGTGCTGAAGCCTACCTTGCAGGATTTTGAGCATAACCTTGCTAGCGTGTGAAATGAGTGCAATTGTACGGTAGTTGGAGCATTCTTTGGCACTGCCCTTCTTTGGGATTGGGATGTAGACTGATCTTTTCCAGTCCTCTGTCCACTGTTTAGTTTTCCAAACTTGCTGGCATATTGAGTGTAGCACCTTAACAGCGTCATCTTTTAAGATTTTAAATAGTTCGAGTGGAATGCCATCACCTCTGCTGGCGTTGTTAGCCATGCTTTCTAAGGCCCACTTGACTTCACTCTCCAAGATGTCTGGCTCAAGATCAGCAACCACACTATTTGGGTTGTCCAGCACATCCAGATCTTTGTGGTAGAATTCCTCTGTGCATTCTTGCCACCTCTTCTTGATGTCTTCTGCTTTATAAGGTCCCTACCATTTTTGTCCTTTATAATGTCCATCTTTGCACAAAAGGTTCAACATCTCCATTTTTCTTGAACAGATCTCTGGTTTTTCCCTTTCTATTATTTTCCTCCATATCTTTGCACTGTTCATTAGCTGGTCTTTTCTATGTAGTGATCCCTGGTCCTCGACACCCATCAATCATAATGACTGATAATCTCTTTTCTATGTAGTGATCCCTGATCCTTGACACCCATCAATCACAGTGACAGATAATCTCTCCTCCTTATCACAACAATACAACCACAACAAGACACACTATTTACCCATCTCCTGAATAGGACACAAGCCTATCTCACAGCCATAAATATTCCACTCCCAAGCAAACGACACCAGAAAACAGAGTGCTGTCCTTTGACGATGCCGGCCACAGAGACTGGCAAAACATTAGGAAGAACAACCTTCAGAACACGGCCAAAGAGTACAAAAAACCCACAACAACCATTAGATTCCGGCCGTGAAAGCTTTCGTGAATACATTCCTACGCAGTATTTTTCTTTGCAGCATCAGACTTTCCTTTCACTTCCAGGCATGTCCACAGCTCAGTGTCCTTTCGGCTTTGGCCCAACCACTTCATTAGCTCTGGAGCTACTTGTACTTTTCCTCCACTCGTCCTCAGTAGCATGTTGGATGCCTTCCAACCTGAAGGGCTCATCTTCCAGTGTCATATCTTTTAGCCTTTTGTTTCTATTCATGGAGTGTTATTGGCAAAGATTCTGGAGTGGCTTGCCAGTTTCTGCTCCAGGTGGGTTGCGTTTAGTCAGAACTCTCCACTATGACCTGTCCATCTTGGTGTCCCTGCACGGCACAGCGCATAGCTTCTCTGAATTATTCAAGCCCCTTCACCACGTCAAGGCAGCAATCCGTGAAGGGGAATCCCTAGTACTCACTTGGTATAAATGGCCAGAAATTGAATCCATCAGCCAAGATGATTAAAGGTTTGAAAATTTTCCTTTTTGGAAGTGCTGTTCCTAGAATCAGTCAGCATAGCTGCTGGTGATTGTGACTAGAGAGTTTTCAGAGCTGCAACTCATAAAATCCAATTCTAATGTCCACCCCCCCTCCAAGCTATGAAGGTAGGTAAGATATGTTGTCAGCCTGGGGGGAAAAATCTGCTTCTATACCTGATTGGTGTTTCCATAGCAAAAGGTGGTGGTGGGAAGATAGCTGCACAGTTCAATTGTGAAGAATAGATTTTAAAGTCTCTTGAGATGGAAATTACTTGGACAGGAGAGATTCTGGCATCTTGATTGAGAAAGAAATAGCAGGACTGCTTCTGAGCTGTTGATCTGAATCTTGGGTTGAGATTGACTAGTATCACTACCAACATCAGCATCAGCAAGATACATTCTGCCTGTTCTGGTTTGCCTCTGCCCACTACAGCTCATCATGACTCACTGGCTTTTTGTTGTGTTAGTTCCTGTTGTGCAGCACCACTCAGCTTCCTCCTCTTCTCATAGGCTTCTTGAATGTTCTTACCAGCTGTAATTTTTAGATGAACCCTCTTGTAAAAGTGGGGGATCAATGCCCCTCCATATATCAACAACCCACCTATATACAGGGAGGGTCTACCCTTCTTCCTGAATCAAATTTCTGTGGGGAATGATAACGAAGAATGGAACGTTCGGGGAGATGTTTGGCATGTGCAGACTCAAATCTTACAACATGTTGGCCCATGTATAGTGGGTATCTCCTGTGGGATTTTTAAAACTGTGTAAGGTTTTTTTTTTGGGGGGGGAGCAATTTAGTTTCTGCACTGCGTTGTTTACTGTATAGGTTGGTGATTTTCCATATTTTTTAATTTCCTCCCTCCCAGCCCCCAAAGTCAGCATCTAGGAAGTGCCTGCCAAGTTGTCTGCATCTCACTGGACTGATATGCTTATGGAAACAATTCCCAGATTTGTTCCGGGAAACTTTTCTGCCCCAATTTTTGCATTATTAGCCTGGTGATGTTTGGACAGCCCCTTAGGGATGGAAGGCAGATTTTGATTTTCACTAAAATGCTATTTACATGCCTTCTAATGATTTGTAATTGCCCTTTCTTAGGGGAAGCATAATTAGCCCCCTCCTTCCTCGCATTGTCCTTCCTCGCCATGTCTTTGGAGGAACAAATATTTGAGGCAGCAAGATTTCCAAATGTCATTGGGGTAGTTAGTACTCCAGCGACCAGGAACACATCAAGGCTACAATTCTTATGCAGTTGCTGGGAATTAAGTCCCAAGGGACTCAATAGAGCATACTTACAAATAGAGATGTGTAGGATTGTTGTGTAAATCCCTTATTTGACTTATATTCTACGTCCTAGCACTAGGATCAAAGGCAGTGTACAACAAGCAGAAAAGAACTTAGAAAAAAATATTTTTCAAAGCCCCACTGCTTAGACCAGAAGTAACTGTGAATGACGTCCCTGTTGTTAAGGAGCCAAACTATGTTCTTTACACTGAAATATGAAAAAGTTAGTTTTTTTGACTACTGACTGTCTTGGCTGGTGTAGTCCAGAAACTGTAGTCCGAAAAAGTAACTGCTCCTATCTCTGAACTTCTATTAGTAATTGTGAAAATATATTCCAGCATTTGTCTAGAATATATTCTAGAGAGATGGTTTTTGTATTCTTTATCACAGTGGCACATGATTAAATCTATGAACAACAGCAAGATGACCATATAGTAGTAGTTTCATGCTGTTTTCTCTTAGAGAGATGCCACCTTTCCAGATATTTGGTGCAAGAGAATATTTTCCTATATACTGTATTTTAATCTCAGTTTAAGATCTTCAGTGCTTCAGCTCTGTTGTGTATTTGGCACTGAATGAGTTTTGTACTGTGGCATATTGGCTGCTAACTTGTTTAGTCTTTATGTGTATGGAATTCCAATTGAGGAATTCCATACTACAAGGCATATATAATCAATATATTGGCAGATTGCTACTTGGAGTTCAATGTGTATCAATGTTGAGCAGGATACCAGGCATTTATTACTTATGTTTTAAGAACTTTCCCTCCCCTATGGTATTTTATTGCCATTTCCCCAGAAGATACTATTAATTGGGTGGTACAATCTGAATAATTGTATTTATCTCCCTGTTTCCAGTGCAGAGAGGTGAGGAATGAAAACTTGGTGGGCCACTGTGGGGTGGCCACCGCATCTCTGATCCCAAGGGAATTGGGAGTTCCTCACTTTTCCTGAGGCCAACCATGGAGTGTCCAATTCTGGATGGAACCTCCCAAGAAGACCCCCCTCCAGTATCAGCTCTTGAGAGACAGATCAGGCGACGAAAGATCATCATATACAGGTGAGAGGACAGTAAGAGTATTTTTCCTGAAAATTCACAAAGGAGAAGGGAATGAGGAGCTGCTGTGGTGCCTTGAGTGTCCCTCCACATCATTTCACATTTTTTTTCCAGACCCGGCGCAGAGGAGCAAGGATCCCCCATCCTACGGCAGAAGCCTCAAGACAGAGGTGGAACATCTCCCTTGCCTTGTGGGGATGTGGGGCAGTCGCCCAACAAGAGGCAGCGACTTCAGCAGGGCTCACCCCCAGGGAGGGAGAAGAATGATGGGAGCCCTGGCGGCAAGGTGGGAGAGACCCTGTGGCGTGTGGCTTCTCCCATGGAGAAGAAGCAACGGAAGGTGCTGGCGGTTGACTTGGAGGACTTTTCTACCACCCAAGTGCCTGTAAGGATGCCATAGGGAATGTTGCCAGGCTGTGGGGTGAGGTCATAACGGGATATGCTGGCACCACATTTGACTTAGAGGTCCCTATAGAATGGGGGCCAAAGGATTCCTAATTCCTTTGAAGTGGCATCCAGTTGATTTTTACCAAAGGAGGAAAGATTACTGTTAAAAGCTAGTGAACTGAGGAAATCTGTTCTTTTTGGCTGTTGCTGTTGTTTATAACATTATTCTTGTTACGCGAAACCCAGCATAGTGGAGGGGATTGAGAGTCAGGCTAGGACTCAGAATATGTTTTTTTCAGATCCTTACTTGGCCATGAAACTCACTGGAGGATAACAATAGAAAACTGCTCCTTGAATATCTCTCATACCTTAAAAAGCCTATTAAGTTTGCCATAAATTGATTTGATAGCATGTAACAAAGATGAAAAAAAGTTGTTTAATAAAAAACATGTCTCATTATGTCCCGTATTTAAACATTGGTTTTAAGTGATCTTTTAAAAACTAACATCTGCTCAAAATTACAAATATGGCTGAAATAATCCAAAGTGATATAAAAAGAAAGAAAGAAAAAAAGACCTACGAAATGTAATTGTTAATTGTAACAATTGTGAATTAGCAATTCCGCTAACACCTTCAGCGGCAGTGGCCTCGCTCATCTTTCCGATCACTCCCAGAGCGCCGCTCTCTTCCCGCTCAGCTGGCCACTCGGCAGCCATGCAGGGAGACTCGTCCTCCCTCTCCCTGCTTGGAGTGGCTAGCCGAGCAGGAAGACAGCGGCGCTCCGGGAGTGATTGGAAGGATGAGCGAGGCCGCTGCTGGACGCCTGAGTGGATGGTCAGGGCCCCAGGGGCTGGACCCTCGTTAAGTCCAGCTGTGCAAGGATATTCATATTTTTCATAAGGGGTATTTGTATTTGTATACAAATACCCCCATCTCTAATCAGGATACATAAAGAAGTGTATTACATCCAGGTGTACCCGCATATTAATTACTCTGAAATGGAGGCTGGTGTGGGTGCCCCTTCCATCTCCAGGGCAATGGGTGCTTATGAAAAATAGACATTTTGCAGTGGTGGCATCCCCATAGAGGTTTTGCTTAGTAGCTATTCAGTAATCTTTCTTTTTGTGGGAGATTTTTTAAAGACACAGTTTTAGTCCTGCTAACAGTTTGAGGCCAACTTTATGCTTCGTTTCAGCTCATTTTACTTTATTTTAATTATTTGGTATTTGCATGTTAGCTACCTTGTTTTTTTACATATATACAATAAATCTCCTTCCTAGTATGACTGGAGGAAGGTATAAGACTATTTCTAATATAAATCGACCTCCTTGCCCATCAGAAAGAATTCATATGGGAGCGAAGGGAGCAGTTCCTTAATTTATCCCTGATGCATTTCACTTCCCATGATGCTGTACGCCACTAGATCAGGAAAATTGTGCCTGGTTATGCTATCTTGCATGGTCAGGATCTAGTGAAATCTTCCGGTTCAAATACCCATGAATGTCTCCATGGATAAAGTGCCTTTTGTAAGCAAGCTTATGGAGGAAAAGAAAGATAAGGCTTCTGACCCTTCTTGTTGTTAAGCTGTTTGACACTTGGGCTGTGTCTCTCTCTCTCTTTCTGCCCAGCAGGATCTACAAGGGTGCTCATCCTCTCAAAGACCTACTGTGCCTCCTTACACAAACTCGAACCATGCAGGGACTTTGACGGAAGACAGTGCCTCCTGGTCAGCAAAGAGCCAAAGTAGTACCACATACAGGTGAGCACTGGTCTATGAGACTGGAGAGGTGGGTTGACTTGGTGTATGGGATCTCCCATGAAAACGGCTGTCTTTCTTTCTTACTCCCTTCCCTTTCGGCCAGATCATCTCCTCCCGAGTTGGGCTCTCAGGAGAAGTTGGCTCATGCGTGTCGGCAGCTATGGGACCAGAAGCTCTCTCCCCCTCGGAGCCATGAGTCTGAGCGCCTGCAGGTCAAGAGGCAGCGTCTGCAGAAGGGCTTGTCCCTACCCGGCAGTGTTGAGGGGAACAGGGCTTCCCCACCGACAAAGGCTCCTCAGCAAATCTTGACCATCCGAGTGGAGGACCCTTCGCCGGACCAAGTCCTGGTGAGTTCCTTTGTGGGAGGCAACCACGGAAAAGGCGCTGGCGTGCTGGGCAGTTCAGGCAGAGGGAGTCTTGAGAGTGGGGTGGATTGGTCCGTGTTTCGGTTCAGACCTCTTTTCTCGCTGGCAGGATGCCGGCGCTGGCAAGGAGCAGCTGGAGACCTCCCCACCCCCTTATCGGTGAGTGCTTTGCCCACAAAACCAGCCCAGGTGTGGAATTGGCTGTGCTTCCCCTCTTCCACTGCACCCGTGCCTTCAGGAGGCGGCCAGGGATGCAGCAAGAAAACCGACCAGCTTCAGGGGTTTGCTTCGATGCTTCTTCTACCATCCCAACATCCCTTGGGCCATTTTCCTACTGACAGAAAGGCTGACCTCTGCCCTGCCTTCCTCTATCGCAGGCTTTCTTTAACTGGGACTTTTTAGATGTACTGGCTTGCAGCCCCCATCCTCCTCATCCAGCAGTACAGACCAGAAGGCTCATGGGTGTTGTAAGTCAGAAGGACACCACGTTGGAGGAGGCTGCTTTAGAATGTCCTGCTCCGAAGGGACAAAAGAGGCTGCCGCCTGTCACTCTCCCATGTTTTTGCTCTTGTTCAGGAGCGATCAGCTGACACTGCCTTGTCGACCATCTTCTCCAAATGTGGAAAAGCTGACCCCTTCAGACCCGTCCTGTGAGCACAGCCAACGAACAGGTGAGTGAGTTTGTGACTCCGTGAGTGCAAGGTGGTATGTCATGAATGTACAAACGTTTCTTTGCGTGTGTGTAAATTTCCTGGGCTTTCACGTGTGTCTCATAGGCCTAAAACTGCTAGTTCCCAATGGAGCAGATTATTTGAAACGGTGAGATTTGCCTCCATGTGGATGTACAGTGGTGCCCTGCATAGCGACGATAATCCGTGCAGCAAAAATCGTCGCTATATGGATTCGTCGCTATGCAAAAAAAGCCCATAGGAATGCATTAAAACCAGTTTAATGTGTTCCTATGGGCAAAAAACTCACCTTTAAGCGAAAATCCTCCATACGGCCACCATTTTCTCTACCCGGTAAGCGAGGAGTCAAGGCGAAAACACAGCGGGCGGCCATTTTTTTAACCCGGTGGCCATTTTGGAACCGGCGATCAGCTTTTGGGAAATCATCGCTATGTGAAAATCAGTAGGTGAAACAGCTTACCGATCATCGCAAAGCAATATTTTCCCATTAAAAACATCGCAATGCGATCGCAGAAACGATCGCAAAAAATCATCGCTATGCGGATTCATCATTAAACGGGGCGCTTGTTAAGTGAGGCACCACTGTATTAAGAGCTGCTGGGTAGCTCTATGGTTTTGGTCTCTGGCTGCAGAACCAGATGTTGGGAGTTCAGTTCCCCGCTCTGCCTCCTTGACAGGGGCTGCATCTGATGAATGCCTTAGGATCATCCGTAGGATCCCTTCCAGCTCTGCAGTTCTGAGATTCAGTGATTGATTCAATGGAATCAGTCTACTTGGAAGTAGCAATTGGGTTGATGCCATACAACATAGGGAACACTTGGAACATTTCAGTTTTGCAGATGAGTTCTCTGTACATTGTGGTATTTATTTACAGGAGGTCCTTCTTTCTTTTCTGCCATTTAAAACTTCAAGGCAATTTTACAGACATGTTCAAACATGGTTGTTTTCGGTGGGGACAGGATTCTCCGTTCTGGGGCAAGTCAGTCCTTCTCTTGATGGTGGTGTCAGAAAGATCAGTGCCTAATGGCACTGTCTGTGTTGTGTTGCTAATCCAGAAGAACAAACAACACATCCTTTTTGGAATTGCTAGCCCCACCTTCTACAACCAGATGTTCTCTGGATATGATGGGCTACACCTCCCATCATCCTGGTTAGCTGAGGATGATTGGAATAGTCTGCAGAACAGCTGCAAGATGGTGCTTCAATGTGAGAGACAAAGGCAAAGGGGGAGTATTTGGAGAAAAGGAATAAGTAGGAATGGGGGCTATTATAACAGTATGCTTATCTGAACAGTGTGCCATCTGAACTGTACAAAAGCAAGTTAAATAGAGAGAACAGACCACAGACACTTCCACGTCATGATGAATTGGAAATGAGTGGAAGGAATGGGTGTTCCCTAGTTTCCATGAAATGTTGTTGGGCAAAGACTGCTGACTTTTATGGGGTGCAGAGTCAAGTCACCAGTATTCTTTTTCTTAACCTTGATCGGGATTTTTCCAAAAAGATATGTTTATTTGTCTATTTGTAAAACGCCCAGAAAACCTGGGTTGCTGGGTGATCTAAAAGTGCAGGCCATAGTAAAGAAACAAAGCAAATGGTCTGCAAATCATTCAGGCTGAATAGAAGCATTTTTTTTCTTTTTCTGAACCCTAAGTTCCAAGATCTAATACTGTATTACAATGGGTCTTAGTCTTAGCACAGGAATAGGCAAAGGGCAGCCCTCCCATCTGCTGGCTGGGTCAGATGGGAGTTGCAGTCCAACAATATTTGGAGGGCTAAAATTTGCCTGTCCACTTAAAAACAAATAAGAATAGCTGATGAAAGACAATTGTTCAGGTGAGCAAGCAGGGAAGTTGAATACCTGTTGTTGCTTTTAGTTGAAAGGAATGCTTGTCCTTTGAGTCAAAGTTTAGAAAAGTTATGCTGTTGGGATACAGCTCCCTGAATTCAAGAGACAACTTTTCTGAGCTCACTGGGTGTTCTTCAGTAGAAATTCAAAAGTCACTAGAAACCCTGGATGCTGAATAGCTAAATCAATGAGCTGGCAGGGTGGTCCCTAATCTGAATTGAGAAGTAGAGCAGATTGGGCTTTCGGGCATCCAAGGGTTCCCAACCCCACCTCAGCTGGGACCACTATTTCCTATTTTGTCTAGAGCTGCAAATGCTCTCCCAGGTTCTTGAGTCACTTTTGCCATCTAGCGCAGGTGAAGCTGAAGCCTAAGAAAGCATGTAGAGGCCACCCAGAGAGAGGGGAGCTGGTGCTTTCGGGTCGCTCGTGACCAGTCCACCCAGAGGCATGAAGGCTAAGAGGGCATGCCGAGATCATATGACCAAGTGACTGAAGAAAGTCTTATGGTTTTGAAAGCCCTGAACAATCTGTGTGCTGCTTCCTGAGGGACCACCTTCTCTCTTGTAGGCTGTTGTGTATCTAAAGCTGCTGAGAAAGGCCACCACATCTCTTTGAATTCCACTCTGCGGTTGTATCACGTAAGGGCCTTTAGCTCTGTGGCACCCACAGTGTGGAATCGTCTCCCCTCACAAACTCGACATGCCTCCTACAATTTTTTAGTTTTGGACCCATGTTGTAAACATGCCTATTTTTCCAGGCCTTCCCGTTATAGGTCAGCCTAACCTTCATCTCAAGGATGGCCTAAAGATCATATGTTAATATGTGTGTCTTGTCCATTTGTGCACGTGGTCTAGTTGTATGTTGTGTTTACTTGATGTCTTATTATGCTTCTGTGTCGTGCTTTGAATTGTTCAGGTCTAAGCAGCTTATAAATCCTTACCAATCAACCAAGAGGAATGTTTACAGAAAAGCATCTTTCCCTCACTTAGGGCCCTCGGTTATCCTCCACTATGCTTTCTGGGGATGATGGGAACTCAGGAAGTCTGTTGTAAGGGAATGGCAACCAACCACTCCTGTCTTCCTTTTCTTTAGTGCTGTATTTTATTCCCTCCCCACAGACGTGCTGCCTGAAGCTGCTGAAGCGCCCTCCTCCTGGCCCCCTTCGACCTCTGCTCTTCTGCGTCCGTCAGTGGTCCCCCGTTTCAGGCCTTGGAGCCTAGCTCCAGTCCTACAGAGCATGCGTTCAAAACTAGAGGCCTTTGCTGACATCTTCCTGAGCCCGTCCAAGCCTTCCGCCCCGTCCTCTGAGGTGCCATCTTCCCTGCTGCCTTGCCTTCAGGGAAATGCGGACCAGACCACTAATCAGCCGGGAACCCCGCGCCGAGGAGTCAACATTGAGGTGAAAATAGCCATTTCAGAACCACGGCCCCGGAAGAGAAGTTGTCTCTGTGCGGAGGAGGAGGAGGAGGAGGAGAAAACCGGCAGCGTGGTGGTGAGTGGGCGGCCTCCCATCCGCCAGTGGCGCTTGAACGAAGGGGATCCAGAGCCGCAGCTTCAGCCCCGCCTCGGACGTAGCTTCTCCTGCCCTGATTTCCCCGGCTCCTGTTCCTGGCAAGCGTCTCCGGTGGCCGTTTCCCCTTCCTTGCAGCTACGACAGCGCCGGCACACCGTCTGCAGCCTGGAAGTGTCCCGGGAGCTGGGCTGTCCCACCCTGCCCTGCCTGCGTAAGGAGGTGTACCCTTTCAGCACCCCCCCTGCCCGCCTCTTGGCCCACGCCGCACATTGTGAGAACGGCTCCTACTCTTCCCCTGCGCCTTCCTGCTGCCGTGAATCTGAAGCAACTCATTCCAGGTAAAAAAACACACGCCCACACACCTCTCCTTCTCCTTCCTTTCCCCTCTTTACTTCACCTTACCCCACTTTGCCCTCTAAAGCTATCTGCTGCTCCTCAAATGTGTTGCAGCGACTGGCTTTCAGGCAAGCCTGTCTTTTAAGTTAGAGTTTAAAAATATGCTTTTTGCATTCCGGTTCTTAGAATAATTCAGTCTTCACCTGGGGAAGAGGTTATAGTTCAAGAAAGTAACTTGTTCAGTCTCTTCTAAGGAGGCCTGAACAGGCCTTCCCTCAAGTGCATACTTTCCTTTGTTGCCTGGCTGTTGCTATCCCAGCTCCTCTCTTTTAAATAGATATATAACTTGCCTTTGCACAAAAGGTTTGGCTGTGAAGACTCATGTTGTTGTGGTACCACACACCTTTTGGGAGGCCTTCTAATCTGTACTCTCCAAGCAGGTTTTCCTCATCTTGAGTCCCCAGATGTTGCTGAACCACAACTCCCGTCTGTGGCCAAGAAGGCCTGTGGTTTTTCAAGGAAATGTAGTCCGCCACCATCTAGGAACTCATGACTGGGGGAAACGGCCCCCAAGGGTCCTATGCAACACTGTTGGCAAGGACATTTCCCTTGGACCCAGCCTGTGTGGATTACACCGAGCTCAAAGCACCAGAGGCCTGTCTCTCCATAGCCTTATCTCTGTTTGTTGACTATGGTGGTTGGGTGGGCCTTCTGCTTCTGCTCAAAGGCAGGAGGGTTTCATTTTCCCCACATCACTTCACAGATCTCATTATACTTTTTTTTTGCCTTCATCGGTAGGTGGCCTTGCTCCCTCAGTTTGTTTTACTCAAAGTTACCTTCCTTGCCTTCCATTGGATTGATGAGTGAACATTTTCTGTCTGGGAAGATCTAGGTCTCACTTTTATTTGTCTGTGTTGGGGTTTCCTCCCCTCTGTCCTCACAGGGACATCTCCCCTTCCACAGATGTTGGACAGAGGGTGCCCGGGGTTGGCCTGGGCGTGGGTGACTCTGAGCTGGTCGCGTCGGAGCAGATGATGCTTTCAGGGGACGAGATGAAGGTCAGTTGCTTCACGGCCCAAGGTCTCCCTCTAGAAAGTCTTGGGCAGAACGGGGCGGCTGTGGACGCTGGGCCTTTTGGTGTCTTTGTTTTCCCCTTGTGTCCTCTCAAGGCCGTTCTTGATATTCCTAAACTCTGCAGATCTCCCAGGACAACACCGTTGGGAAAGTATCTTGCATACGGATCCGCAAGACCCCAGCCAGGCAGCAAGCAAATCTCACTCCAATGGGGCTTCCCCGGCCTGTCAGGTTAGCTTTTCCCCAAGAGGGGCTTAGAATGGAATCATGAGGGGCAGGGGCTTTTTGCAAGATGTTAGAGTCTGAATTAGCCTGTCGGTGGTTTGACAGGTCAGATTCTCCATCGCTTGAAAGTGAGGTAGCTACATCTGTCAGCACCTTGGGTTTTTTTTTTAAGGAGAAAGGTGGGATAAAAATATTTTAAATAAATATATAAATAATATCACTCCCCTGGAACAGATGAAAGCATTCAGCCAAGGCAGGCCAATTGTGGGTCTCCCTTTATTGCTGGACTCCATCTCCTAGCACCTCTCACAGTTGGCTACACTAGCTGGGGCTGACAGGAACTGCAGGCTGATACGATTTGCCAGGGCACTGGTGACTCGTGCTGGTACTGTGGGAAGGATCTATGTGTATGTAGCGCATAATCTTAAAGAACTAGGACTCGGAAGAGCAAGGGCTGGGAACCCAGAGCTAAAGGGCAGCAAGCAAATCCTGGCTACTGTGAGGAAAGCATATTGTGAGGCATGGCATGCTTATATTCACCCGCGCTAAAGAAAATTCCCTTTTTCACACTGGCCCCAATATTCCTAGATAATGGCCTTCTCTTTCCTTTCCTCAGGTTGAATAAGAAAGAGTTCAGTCTGGAAGAGATCTACACAAATAAGAACTATCGCACACCCACAGAGAAGAGGTGAGATTCACTTTCATGAATGTTATTGTGGCGTGCACACTCTCCCTTGCTTTCTGTCCACTTGGGGCTGCATATCTTGGATTCTGTCTTCACTGCTTGCAAGCGGTGAACATAAGCGCCTGCAATCTGAACCTGTCTCTAAATGGGGTCTGGTTCATTTTAAAAAGGGGAGAGGTAAGGAGGTTCATGGAGTGATGGTTTAATTACTGGAGTGTTCCAGTAATTAAAGGTTAAGGGCATAGAGAGTAATGGCAGAACCCTGAGCATATGGGGAAGAACGGGTCAGCATGTTTTTTAGAGATTGTTTTGGGGCTGCACTGGAAGAAAAGAATACAGCTGACACATCAGACTATTTGTAGTGCTGACACTTTCTCCATATTGTGAGAGTGATGTACAAATTACTTTGCTTACGTTTGACTGAAATGTGCAGGTGATTTGTGGTTATTTGTCCTTTGCAAGGGTGGTGGCAGAGGGCTCTGATTCAGTACCTCAATTCCTACTCTGTATTTCATGGTCAGTCCTTCTACGGCTTCTGCTTTTGTTAGCCTGTGGCTTAGACTGCTCACTGCAGCCTTGGATTTTTAACTCCCTTGCTAAAAGTGGGTGCTGTTCTTTTTTCTTGAGCATTTCTAGTGCTCAGGTCTGATAGAATTAATACTTAATACTTCACTCAGTAGTTAGTATGGTTGCATTGAAAAGGTAGTTTGGGGAGGGTTGTCTTACTACAGAGGCATTCTGATACACACACACACACAAATTTGATCTTCTCAACTCTGCCACAAAGCACTTCTTTTATGCTTGGTTACTTTGCGGGATTCCTGACATACTCAATGTCTTCTGATTTCAATGGAATCTATGCCTTATATTCAAAACATACTGTGGATGTTATAGTTGTGGTTGCTCTTGTCTTGTGTGTTCCAGCTCTAAAATACCGGGAATGAAAACCCTTTTCCCATTATGTCTTCATTATTTGTAGCTTCTCCTTAGGCTAGGCCCGGTATATGGGGAGACCTGAGGATCTCACTGCCTTCTGCCTGATTTCCCACCTCTTTTCTCTTCTTCCAGGTCATTTGAGACCATCTTTGAGGTGCCGCTGGAACGCAACGGGGCTCTCGTTTTTACCAGCCAGCGCAAATTGAAGCGGGCCATGGAGTTTCGAGAAGGCGGCCTTCGCCGCAAGCAGCGCAAAGCCCGCGCTCGAGGGGGACGCAAGGCAGGAGGGCGACGGGCTCAGGCTCAGCCTCCCGAGCTGGAGGAGATGCTGCAGCAGCGGTTGGCTGAGCTGGATGCCCTGTTTGAACAAGAAGAAGAGCTCTGATCACAGCCAACATCTGTCCAGAGGAAAGGGCAACAACCCTGGGGGCTCTTGCTTTCTTTCCTCCCCCCCTCCAGCCTTCCCTTTACTAGTGAGAGGTTGGTTTGCTTCAAGCCACCAAGCCAACGTTACCACTCCAGGCTTCTATGGTTCACTTTATTCTCCATGCCTCCAATCAACTGATCTTCCCTGTGGCTAAAATCTCCATTGAGCTGTGGAGGTTGCTACTAGGAAAATGGGGGTCAGGATTCACTTGGGGTCATCTGTCCAATCACTATGCTGCCTGCTTTGGCACCATGTCAGTCTCCTCTTGCTCAGTTCTCCAGCTTGTTCGCAGGAGGGGAGAGAACAATTGTGGTACCCAGGAGTTTCTGTACTTTGCACTTGGTCTCCTGCGCACAATCAGACCACCAGTGAGTGCCTTGCAGGGTACAGTTGAGGGGAGCATGTAGGTCCAGTGGTCTCTGCTCTCGTGCTGTCAGCTAGAGACTTAGCCCCTTGTGAGATGGCCCTGTCTGTGGGGAGTAGGTTGCCTACGTATGGGGGTTGCCATCTCCTTCCAACCAAAATATGAACACAACAGGTCACCCGACAGAATGGATGGGACAAGATAAAGGAATTACGGGGAAGCAACAACAGGAGTGTATTTGTGAGGCTGGGAGGTGAAAGGTGGGGAAGAAGGAACGGTGTGTATCAAGAGAATGGGGAAATAGGTCTCTCCTCTCCCGTTGTTAAAGCCTGGGCAGTCAGCTGGAAATCCATTGAAGGTCTCAGTCCTGGATCGGGCCCCCAATGTTCCAAATTTAGATTAGATTGCAGAAATGGCTGTTAGGCACGAGGGGTGGTTTTTGTTTGTTTGCAGTTTTGTATTAATCTATATTTCTAATAAACTTATCAGCTTGGGGAGAAAAGTAACTTCCAACTTCCTGCGTAGACCTTTCCTTGTAATTTTAGTAAGATGGCCTTCAGTCTTATCTGAACAGAGAATCCACCTTTATAACCATGGAATGCCTCTTAGTTCTTACATGCGATGTTTGGATCCAGAAGCATTGCAGGATAATAATGGGAAATACAGGTGCTTCACCTAGCATTTATCTGCATGGGGGAGAGGTTGGGGAAAGTTGGAATATTTTTTAATGGAAAAGAGACTGGTGGGAGCAGCCCAAATGTCCCTTCTGAGCTCTTTGGATTCTTGTCATTACCAAGCCTGGGAAAGTATTTTGCTAAAGGTGGGACAGAATGTTCTGGCACTGACAGATACATGAAAGTTATTAGCACACAGTGACACACACACGCATATATATCTAATAAACTTAAGAACTTTGGGGGGAAAATATGCAACAACTCCTTTTTCCCCTTCTTTATCACCTTCATTATAACGATTTCCCCTGTTATTAGTTAACTGGAAATCACTTTTTCGAGATCTAAGATATTCAGGATTTCTTGAGTAGTCTTTGTTCTAGTGTGCTTTGGGTAGCACTTAATTCCAGTGGGTATGTCCTCAACGCAAGTGTATTAGCCAAGTGCAACTTCACGTCCAGTCCTGATTCACACACCAGGAAATCCCCAGTGTTTATTATAATTATACTCTGAACCTGTTGCCCAATGGCAACACTTCAGGCCACAAGATATGTGGGAGTGTGGCATTGCCTTCCCCTTGATGCTTTGTGATTCCAATTATGGATAGCAATTGAACAACTGTGTGTTTGTGATTTGTTTTCTTCTCAGTTCTGCCTCATGAGGAATTAAGCTGTTGATATGATTGCATATGTATAGTGCTATCTGGATGTGGTGCTTTGCGTTTTCTTTTGTCTCCATAGTTATAGAACACTACCATGTAATTGAAAAGGAGAAATGATTTATAATTTATTACATTATCTATTCAGAAGGATCAATGGGGGGGGGTAACAAAAGATTTAAACCCATATTAAAAGGTGGTCACTTTAGCCAACCTGCCTACTTTAGTGGTGAGACAAACACTTTGGATCCTTTAGTGTCCCCAGTTTGTGCATCAGATCTTAAGAAATAATACTCTGCAGAAGTGTGGAGGAAAGCTATCCTTGCCAGGCAAGGAGGAATATTAGAGTTGGCCCTTTGTCATCATTTGGCTTATACAGGATTAAACATTCTGTGCTTTGTCCAACAACGTCACATGGGGGTGCTATGACATCACTCCGTGAGGTGACTGGAGAGAGCTGCATGACATCACCCTACCATGTTCTCCACGACACAATGGCGTCATCCCGTAAAGGACGGAAGTGACCCTCAAGAAGGGGTGGGGATTTCAGGGAACATCTCTTCCCCTCCAGCCTCCGGAGGCGGGGAAATGGAGGCCGACTGAAGGGACTATGTCCCCCTCAGCCGCTCTTCCGGCGGAGGGATTCTGTGGCTTCCATTGACACGATGGGAGGAGGGATCTGACGCTGTGGGAGGAGTTGCGTGCCGTGCGCAGAGTGGAAGGAGATCCGGTAGAGACAGCTAGGGGGAGAGAGAGAGAGAGAGACTCCGGGGGCCAATCGTGGAGACGGAGCGGGAAGGGGGGGCAAAGGACGACGGGACCAAAGTGCCCCCCTCTTCGCGCGGGGACAAGAGCCTCGTCCTCTCCAAACCCGTCGCCACCCGCGTTGGACCTTTCCAGTCACCCCCCTCCCCCCATCCTTACTCAGCCCCACCG